CAATGCTCAAAGAAGAATTTAGGAGAGTACTCCACAGACAACAGTTTTATTTCACAACAATCCCCAAGATGGTAGGGAACCTTCAGATTTCACATCTGAAAATGTTCTGATGCTTTCCACAAAAAAAATCATCCTTTTTATACTCAGACACCAAAAATCATTGGGGAAAAATGTCTCACAATTTCAAGAAAACCAGTCACAAAACCAGGTCCCCCACTATCTCCAGGTTGGCATCCAGGGGTGAGGGAACCATGCGCTAAAACAAGACTCTTTTCCTTTCTTTTCCTGTCTTAAAATGAAAGGAAAACATGCAGCAAAACAAGGTTTGAATACTCTGAAATGATTCAAGAATATTCTAGCCCTTTCTGGGCTTCCAGCGTGTAGTCTTCTGTGTCTAAAATAAACTGCATCAGCTCACTGGTAAAACAACTGATTGATAAAATTTGCTTCCCTGAAATCGCCAAAGGAGGGAATATGCGCGAGTACCCAGTGAAATCCAGTTATACCCGCATGCGCTCTCAAAGCACTCAGCATGGAAAGTAAGAACCGAAAGACCCCTGTAGGTGACAGACCTAGTTCGTACAATTTTACTCCTTTGGTATGTTACAGTTACTAAAAAATTTTTCTTTTTAACAAATTTCTAACAATTAAATCCAATCCTGTTAGGTTGAATGTTCAATTAGATGTTAAGTTAGGTTAGATTAGGTTAGGTTGATTTAGGGTTGTTAAAGTTAGTTTAGCTTAGGTTAGCTCATTTTAATTTTGGTTAGGATGATACAAGTTTGATATGTTTCTTCTTTTTCTGCAAAATTTTCCAAGATGCCATGTCATTGGAAAAATATCGGAAAATAAATTTTTTTATGTCCCCGAAAAACAAGGGATGAAAGTTAAAAATAACTGGTTTGAGGGCATGGTGCTGGGAGAAGGGATTAGCGCTGGAAATTTGCTTCCCTGAAATTGCCAAAGGAACCGCTCTGATAATTTCTGCCACAAACAAAGTTGGGCGATCAAGGATCCGGTTTAATTTTTGAATGCTTATGTTAAATTTCGATTGACGCATTCTCTTCGTTTACTAAATGCAACGTCAGCCACTTGGTTCTTTGGTCTGTAAGAGTTGTCGCTGACATTAAACCCACGTCTTCTGCAGACCCACTAAAAACTCTTCCCCTTGTCGAACACTTCCTTGCTTGAAGTTTAAATGGAGTTCGTGTCGTTCCTCAAGCATATGTCGCCAACATTTATTTTTTCTCCGATTTTGAAATTATAGTAATCCTGCGAATGATTTTTTTTGCAGTGCCGAAGAGTGTCGGGAAAATCATTAGAAAATGCGGCGATTAAAATAAAAGGATCTCTGAATCATTTTCATCAACCGTCAATTATCCAAAAATAGCCTGAAGTTGAGTAACTTCTTCGGTTTGACGAAATTGCGTCAATGGCCTGGATACTGAATTTTCGGATGATTCTCAATAACGATCCTGTAGTCGTTAGTAAAGTAACTTGACAAAATTGTTTTGCTTTAGTGAGCTTCGCTACCGCTTTTACTACTTTTACACGGACTGAAGAAGTTCACAGGCGAAAAAAGTCACTGAATGTTTTAAAACTTAAAAAACAACCCAAATAACTCGGAATTGTTCTGAATCCCACGAGTGACCGTCCCGATTTGAATTGAAGCAGAAATACCGTATTTTTTTCCTTGAAACCGTGCAAAAAAAGTGATGATGGTTTTTTAAATGGTCGTTGATTCGGGATAATATTTAGTGTTTTTTTTTTTTTTACGAAGCAGAGCTTTTGGCAGTTTTTAAGCTCTTGTCTACCGTCATACTGGTCGAAACTTGACCATCACGGCTGGCTAATGGAGGAAGAAGTTATTATTAGGAGCTATTTCACAGCTGCATTTTGAGGTCTAATTACGTCACACTTTTAGAGTTTTAGCCCATGAGTATCTTTGTTTTTTTTTTTGTGTCTTGGAAATTTTCTGTTAGGGCCCGCGATCAGGAAACTTTAATCGAATGCCTTAGTTACTTGATTATGAGGTACTTGGTATAAGGTGTGAATGGGCCTGTATTTAAAATCAAATGGGAGGAAAGAAGGCGAGTGCAAAAAATAAAAGTAAAAAATCGCCGAGGATGCTTTTTTAAAAAATTTTTGGCCGGTTGTATTTATTTCTAAATTTTGCAACAAGCTTGTGTAATCGTCGAACTACCATCTTCATTTGTATTTAATTTTACTTGCTATTCCGGGGAAATCAATCAAGCAAAAATAAAAAAAAATCAATAGCAAAAAAAGTCGAAGATAATTGTTCGGTGTAGATTTCCTGATGCTTATTTTTATGGTTTCTGATTTTTTGGACCAAGCTCATTTAATCGTTGAACTGTATGAATTTTTTTTTAATTTTTGAATGTAGTTTTGTATGCCGAGAGTAATTACTGTTTCATGCACGTAATTGCCCCAGTTTCCATCGTAAAATTTCCAAAAATTGCTGTGCGGCCTCCCAATTTTCCGCATCAGATGTCAGCTTTAAACTCATGGGTGCTGTTTTATGATCGGGTATTACCGCGTAAGGGTTTCGGGTTTAACGTCTGATTTATCTTCTGTGTTGATGTTGATGCTGATCTGAGGGTTTTTCTGTTGAAAAATGTGAGATAAGTGACGGGAAATCGATGTACTTTATTCCTTATCTTCTTATGTGGGACAAACCCTCGATGATGTGTATCTTTATCATCCCATTGCACGATTTGTCATGGAAGTGCGGAATTTCGCGCGAAAAGGATGGCAATGTTGAATCTCGAATTATAGATTATTTTTTCAGTCGTTGAGAAATGGCTGATTGGGGTTTGTTCTTTTTTTCTTCGTGTGGCACTTTGGTGTCAGCATTTCATAATTATTTGATAAGATTTTTAGAGTGTTTTCAGATGTTGACTAGATGATGAGAAAATGCAAAGATTTCAAGATGTCTATCAAGTCTTTATATTTTAATACTCTACCATTGTTCGGTTTGTCTGGAACATAGCCTTTTAGAATTGATAACACCTTTTATTCGCTTAAATACTCTTATGATCTTTCCTTGGGAAGAATCATTCATTTCTTTTTTTCTTCTCCTCTTCGTATTTTGATGAAAATGTTCGTGGAAGTCGTTGAACCGAGGTGAGATTGACTCAGACGATGGATTCGTGACTTCACTAGGTCAATATTGGGGGGGTTTTCATTCGTCTGTAAAGTGGATGTCTGGGTATTCCCGTGGTTCAATTCGTGCTTGTTGAACGATCACGTTCGTCGTCATCCCAGCCCTGTTAATGTATCGTTTTTTGCAAGGATTGTACTTTTCGATATTGAGAAAACGATGAGAAAATGGTTTTTTTATTTTTAGAAATTTATTGCAGCTTACTTTTGTCTCTGGCGATGAACTATTTTTAAACGCCGTCTCAGTGTTATTTTATTTTTTTTGCTTCTGTCACGTTCGGTGAAATAGTGGCATTTGATTCACTTTTCTCAACTGAATTCAGTTGAGAAAGGCGCCGAATTTTCAGCGTGAAAACCTGTTATGTTTTGCTACGCGTTTTTATGTCATATGCTCTTCAGGAGAAAAGGTGGGATTTTGAGATTATTTGTTTTATTTTTTCGCACCTGTTGTATTTTATTGAAATATTTCCTGCGAAATTAGTTGATTCAAATGGTTGCAGTTTCTTTGAAGCAGTTCTGAACATGTTTCTCAAGAAACTTTTGAGACCAAAAAAAGTGCCTGGAGAATTTGAAGATAATTTTTGGCTAGAGGATTCGTGTCAAGTGTTTTTTTTTTTATAATTTTATGATGTTTTTGTAAGGGTGAGAATAATGGAATCTTCAAATTTTTGTGAACCCTTTTATTTTACGTTGTACAGAGAACTCTCTACAAAATTAGTTTCTTCGAAGATAAGATTTCTTCGGAGAATTTTTGAACATTCTTGTCGTTACATTTTACATTCATAATGGTGTTGTATGCGTTTCCCAAGACAAGTTTGAGAAAGTGAATGGCTTAGAAAAATCGGCGATAATTTTTTGCACGAGTTTACTTGTCGACTACTGTATTTTTTTTCCCCGAGGATGTTTGAAAACTGCTCAATTAATGAAAGTGCTTGTGCAAAAACAACAAAAAAGCTTTTAAACCTTTTCCATTTTTTTCTGTGAATTGCGCCACTTCGAAGTCCATCGATTACAAATTATAATCCATCTGACGACGTTTCAAAAATAATATTTCGGAAAAAAGGCGGTATTTTTGCGAAATTACCCATTCTGAAAATCGCCAGTGTGTTTTTCCCCCCGGGTGGAAGCTGACGTACGTATGACGCAGTTGTACGGGTTGAAAAGGAATTGGCTTAGAAAAAAGCGATAATTTTTGAACGAGGTTACTCTTCAACTGGGTTTTTCTTTCGAGGATATTTGAAAACTGCTCAATTAATGAGAAGTTCTTGTGCAATATAAAAAATATCTTATGAACCTTTTCCTTTTTTCCTGTGAATTGCGCCACGTCGAAGTCCATCGATTACAATTTATATCCATCTTACGATGTTTCAAAAATAATATTTCGGAACAAAGGCATCATTTTTCCGAAATTACCCATTCTGAAAATCGCCAGTGTGTTTTTCCCCCCGGGTGTTCGGGTGGAAGCTGACGTACGTATGACGCAGTTGTACGGGTTTTTAATCAAGCGAATGCCGTGAAAAGCGGCCATTTGCTGCGGGGATCCACATACACATACACACACAAACGCACACACACACATCAACCGCTTCCTGTTGACAATAATTGCTTCATGATGAGGGGGTGGGGGGGATGCTGGTGTTGCTGCTGCTGATCGATCAACTGCGTGATCAAAGCAAGCCTCACCGCTGTTGCAGCTTGCGGGAAGACGCTGATGATGACTCTGTTTTTTATTTCATTTATTTATTTTTCTTTTCGTTCTGTGTCATGAGAATAGAATCCGAATCCCGCATTTCCATGCCCATATCCCGGGGTCGAGACCCGATCGACCTCGACTCTGGGATTCGTTTTTGTGTGTGTGTGCGTGTGTGGGGTCTCATTGGGTTGGGATCGACTTGGGTGGGGAGTAGGGTAATTGGGATATTGTGTGCCACCGCGAAGGCCGATCGTTTCGTGGTGATTTTGGATTTGAATAAACCGTTGGTATTATTGGAGTTCGATGAAGGGTTTTTACTCTCTTGGGACCTGAAGGTCGACGAGAAGAAAGGCTTGGATGTGGGGAGCAATGATCAACTGTCTCTAGTCCAAAGCTGTATTAAATATATATAATGTACAGTATATATGGTATATTTATGTATTATTGTAGGTGGAATCTTATCTACAACGATTTTCGCATTAAAAAGATTTTTTTCTGGCTCCTTGAATTTCGTTGTAGAGAGAGAGGTTACCTGAATTATGCGATAGTCGGAATTTTCTGAGTCGAATTTGAAAGATTTTCTGAGTCGAATTTGAAAGATTTTCTGAGACTTACAAGAATGATCCTTTTTAAATGAAAATTTCATATGCATTATAACCCGGAAGCATTCTTTTATTTCCAATTCGCTTATCGTTAATTTTCTTCATTGATTTTTTTCGTGGGGTTCATTTGTAAAACCGTTCCCTTTGCTTGTGGAGTACCTGGAGTATGGTCCAAAAATTACAATTTTTAAACAAAAACTCGGATGGGCAGAAGTGAATTTCCTTTTTCTTCCGTCATTATCATTAAAGGCGTTTTCGAGTTTTCACCAACTCGGTTTCTTTTAATGATAGTAACGGGCTTTTTATAAAACGTTTCTGCCTGATACGAATTCTTCAACTGATTACAACTTCCTTCTTTGAATTTTCATGTTTTAGTTTTGAATTGAACTTGCCGAATAAACAAATTGTTTTACGTTGTTCTCGAAGTATACTGGGTCAATCTCGTTAAACCTCCATCGTTTTTTTGTATTGGGTCACTATGTTTTGCCTTTGTCCTAGACGTGTTACTTGCACGCTCTCGAAAAACAAGGTTCGCAATCGAGAATTATTCGAGGGAAGAATAAAAAAAACGAAACTGACCTGACCTTAGGTGAACTTCGGTGATCTATCTCTGCTACAATCTTCACTGATAGCAGTGAAAGTTAACTTTGGGTACTTTTGAGCCAAACAAGAGGCGTAGTTTATTTTTTTCTCGTCGAAAAAATTTTCGAAACGAGCTTCAATTTGACCTCGCGTTTAGGCGAAACCGATTTTCGTGTGGAACACTTGAATGTACCGAGGACATTTAAACCTCTTGTGAAAAATTCACAAAAATTTAATTCAGAATTTTTTTCCAGTGTCTCACTATTATTTTTTTTAGATGATTCAGTTCTTCTGGATGAAGACAAAAAAGTGAGGCCCTGTAATTTTTCCGGGATTCGATGGAAGCCCAGCTCACGATGTTCCTTCGGAAAAAAGGGGATAATTCCCCTTTTTATTGTTAATAATTGTATCTGGTGTTTTTTAAAAATGAAAGCCGCGTCAATTCCAGTTGAAAACTGAAATTTAGACTTTTTTCCACTCGGTGGAAAATTTTCCAGAGTGTCTCAAGTGTTTTTAAAAGAAAAATTTATTTCTTGTGGATGAAGATAAAAAATTTGAGGCCCTGTATATTTCCGAGATTTTGATAAAAATCCAGGATGAAATGTTGCTTCAAAAAAATGGGGATGATTTTCTTTTCCCCCACTTGTAATGTTTGGTACTGTATTAAAATTCAAAATCGCGCGAATTCCAGTTGAAAACTGCAATTTAGACTTTTCTCCACTCGGTGGAAATTTTTCCAGAGTGTGTTCGTATTTTTATAAAAAAAAATTCAATTTATTTATTGTGGATGAAGACAAAAATTTGAGACCCTGTATATTCCCGCGATTTTGATGGAAATCCAGGATGAAATGTTGCTTCTAAAAAATGGGGATGATTTCCTTTTTCCCCACTTGTGTTGTTTGGTATTAAAATTCAAAACCGCGCGAATTCTAGTTGAAAGCTAAAAATTATTAGTATTTTTTTGCCCTGGGCTTGCGTTTTTTTCATGTGGACCAGTTGATCCTCAAGCTTGAAGAGTCTGCATTTCGCCTTTTTTCCCCCTCACCGAAAGAGACTGTGGGGTTTTTTTTTCCGGGGCACCAAAAATAAAATATTTGTTTCCCTTTGTATTGCGTGGTTTCTTGGTGAACCCGTCGTCGTTAGTTGGGCTCTGAAACTCATGGGGGTACGTACGTACGTGAGTCTTGGATTCGTGACGAGGGTGCTCAAAATCCCTCCGTGAAGCCTTGGAAGTTCCAACACGCGAATGCATGCGTTTTCTTCCTCTGTAATCTCGATGCGGAATACTGTACTGTACATAACCAGAGAAGAAAATAAAAATAACGAGAGAGGAAGGAAAAAAAAAATGGGGCGAGAAAAATATGGTCACGCTCGTGAACTCTGGGTCTTGTGTGATGATGCAATTCCGAGAAAAAGAAAGAGTGAGGCTACGTTTTCGCATGAAATCCTCAAAATGGTTCGCCTGAATGTATTTCTGGGCGATTTGTATGTTTTCCTTACTGTCGATTTTACATACATTTGACAGGTTGAAGAAACGAGGGAGATTTGAATTGGAAAGCGTGTTGCGTGAAAGTTCATGCATGCACTTCGAATCCGAACCCTGAAATGGTTTGCTGGAAGAATTTTAAAATATTTTTATTTTTTCTCCTGTCGATTTCATTCATTTGTTCAGCCGCTTTTATGCTAGTAGGAGAAGCGGGATGTATTTGAATAAGGGTTACGTGAATGAAATTTTTTTTTTTATCGAAAATAATCCGATGACTGGGATTTTTCTTGCTGTATTTTTTTTTCCTCCGCTCTTTGGCCTGATGAAGAAGCGGGGGAATTAAAATCTTGAAAAGCATGTCATCATAGTTATCATTTTTGGCATGCAATGTAAGCAGGAATGTCTCGCCAAGTTCCCGTGCGATACGATTTTTCCTGCGGTCGACTCATTTGTTTGTTGATTTGTAAGTTTTACGGGGAAGAAAATCAGATGACGGAAAATTTTCTTGCTCTCGTTTCCATCGTCTCTTTGACCTGACGGAGAAGTCGGCGAATTTAAATTTTGAAAAAGAAATGTGGCGTGGAATTTACATTTCGAGTATGATATTCAAACGTGAGGTTTAAAAAAAAAATATGCGTGTGATTTTGTTTTTATTCTGCATTTTTCGTTTGGGTTTTGATTAAGGGGAGAATCGGTAATTTGAAATACAACATCAAAATTTTCAGTAGCTTGCGTGAGTAATGATCCATTAGGATGTTTTTAAATTTAGAATTCGGTCCTTGAATTCGTTCGCGTTTCTTCAGTCGGAGAAATAACACTTTTTTTTGCGTGTAACACGAGCATTTCAAAATTTTGCAAGAAATCCGAAGCAGGAATCAGCGGTTGAACCCGAAGTAATTTCCGATTTTTTTTTTAGAAAATACAGTACATCCTTGTTTTTAGATGATACTACGGTCGAAATATTGTACAGTATATGGAATTTTATATTTTTGCTGACGAATTGTATTGACCAAGTTGAAACATTTATCTTCAGCCTTTCACTGCTCGAAGTACCTTCGAAAGTCGTTCGGAATGAGGACACGACAAAAACGCTGGTTGACATTTGAAAAACCTGAGATTTTTTTTTTTTTGCTCAAGCATCTTTTTTCTTTCATTGGAAGAAATATATTATCTGGTATTTATTGTTTTTCCTCGCAAAATAATGCATGCACTGTAGTTTCAAATGAGGGTTTTTTTTTAAATCAAAACAAGAATTATCGTGCCTCAAATGTCAGCCCGAAATTTAAGTGACCTTTGAAAGCCTGTAGGGGTGCGAATTAAGCTGCAGCTTCTTCGTTTTTGGATGAAGCTTCAGGCCAAACTTCTTTCAAAAAGGAAAACAAAAGTTCTGCGTTAACCACTTAACAAGTTTTAAGACAGTGTTTTATTTTATTATTTTTATCTTCTCGTCATCTCGTGACGGACATTTCTCGTATTTCGGAAGGTCGTCGTCGTCGTTTTATTCCGCATTGTGTTCGTGGTTTTCTTTTTGAAACGCCAGCCTTTTCATTGCTGGTGAACCAACCGCGTAACTTTTTATTTTTATTTGATCTCGGAAATGATTTTCACTTTTGCTATGGACTTACCACGAAAAAGCAAGGACGAGGTTTATACGATTTTTAAAGTGTTTAATGAGCACGTGGTCGTACTTGATAATATGTGCATCGTTTTTTTTATGTACATTCGAAAGCGTATCGTTTTTTGTAATTGAAAATAAATTTTCAAAAGCTCACCTGCTGCTTGATCTCGTTTTATTTGATTGTTGTCATGTTTTCGTCAATTTTTTTAGACTACGGTGGTCTCTTGAATTTAAAGTCAGGTACTGTACATGTTTTTACATTTTAACTAGTCGATCTCGAATCTTCTTTTACTAGCTCTCAAGACTTTCAGAAACTCCATTATTTTTTTTTCGTCGCTCGCGGAAAAGTTTTTCTTCTTCGCATGTATAATAAGTGTTAATTGCCTTCAGTTTACGAAAAAAAATATAATTGACATACGCGCAATGCAGTACTGTACTGTGTTATTATTGACGGAAGGACCAGATTTTTCATGAAGAATTTTTGAATGGAACAACAACAAAAAAAAGGTGAATGAGCTTTAGAGGAACTGTGCACCTGTCGTCGTCATCATCGTTGCAGGGAATGTTTTGAATCGACCAAACTGATGGCGGAAATGTCCGTTCGTGTGCAAGTACTTGCTTATTATCAAGTTCTGTTCAACAGGAACCCGGAAGTTGGTTTTTTTGTGCTGAAAATTGTAAAATATGGATAAAATATGGAGACAGCAGTTAGTTGGTCGTCAGGTTTTTATCGTTGTAATCATTCTAGTAATTCAAAGTTTTTTTTTCAAATTTTTTTAGATTCTTCGCGGTAAAGATTAAGACGTCTCCGGAATTGTTACGTGCTGTTCTTGAATTAATGTCTTGAATTTGCCTGCATTTTCTATAATATCGTAGTTGCTAATAGTAAAAAAAAGACTGAGACGTTTCCGGAATTTTAAACCTTGTGATCTTAAATCAAAGCGCAGTTGTTGTTATCAAGAAATTATCACAATGAAGTACCAGGTGAACCTCGATAACTCGAACCTCCCTAAGTCGAATAACCCCTTAATTCAATTTTTTTTAATATCTCCATCTGAATCCCCTTAGGAACAATAGATTAAAAACCTCCCTAAGTCGAAAGCTTTTCCCTCAAACCTCCATAAGTCGAATTTTCTGTGGCCTGTTGGCCTTTTGTTTCTCCCAACTCCCAAGAAAAAAAAAAGCAATAAAAACAGAAATGTATGGATTTTACAGGAATTGAAAGACTTATTTGGGCAAATGAACCCCAGCCTCCAAGTTCAGCAGCCTTTTCAACTCATTTTCAAAGCCCTTTTAAGCCCCTGAATATCACCATTTACAATCTTCCAAGTTTCAACCTGTAAAATTCTGAACCTGCGTAAGTCGAATTTTTTTGGGAGTCCCTTGAAATTCGTTTTACAGAGGTTTGACTGCATTACAAATGAAACGTTGTACAACAGAACAACTCGGAGTGAGAGGAAAAAAAGAAAGAGGAAAGGAAGACAGAAGGAATAATGATAAATTATTTTTCCAAGAAACAGACCCTGGATAACCTAGAGTAGTAATATATACCGTATATTATTATATTTATATTCTGACTTGACCTTTGTTGAAGGACGCAGCTTTGTACTTTGTCCTTGAAACCTGGATACGTCCCTAATTTTAGTACCACTTCCTGGTAAAAAAAAGGCCAACAGGCCACAGAAAATTCGACTTATGGAGGTTTGAGGGAAAAGCTTTCGGCTTAGGGAGGTTTTCAATCTATTGTTCCTAAGGGGATTCAGATGTGGGAATGTTGATTGAACCTTGTGAATGCTGAAAAAGGGAAAGTAAAGCTTTCTGTTCATTCATTCACACTTGGCAAAAAAGGATAACATTGTCAATATTGATTGGTCACTGTTTTTGTTGAGACATTTTTATTGATATATTGTAGATGTAAAATCTAAATTGTATTGTGGACATTCTGATATAATCTTGGAATTTTTAAACCTTCTTCGTTTTTTTTGTCAATAATTTTCGGTATTTGAAGGTTGCTATACTTTCAATGATTAATTCTCATACAAAAAAGAATCATAAAATTGCTCTGCGCGATAAAGTGGAGAATAACGGGGTTGTTTTAGGCTCGATGAGAACACGGGTATACTGTAGCTAAAATTGTTTTAAAATTCAAGAGAACAAAGGTGAAATAAATTTGTTTTGATCTTAAGTTTTCAAGATGATTTTAATTCCAGTTTTTTCTCAAACTTGAGTCTAGTCCGCAATCCTGTTTCCGACACACTTATTTTTTGCGTTCTCAATATTAAATAAAATTGCGCTGCGCGATGAAGTGGAGATTAACAGGGTTGTTTAGGCTCGATGAGAACTCGGGTATAGTTGAAATTGTTTTAAAATTCGAAGAGAAGAAAGTTGAAATAAATTTTTTTTATACCAGTTTTCAAGATGATTTTGATTCCAAATTGTTATCGTAAACTCTAGTCTGGTCCTCAATCGTGTTTCAGACACGCTATTTTTTGCGTGAAAGTGTCGCTTATAACCCGTGGAAATACCGGTACCCAGCGGGTGGAGTGGGAAACTTTAAAGGGAGTTCCCCATTTATTTAAATAAAAAATGATTTTCAGGCAACAACAGAAAAAGAAAAATACTTTATTTTTTTCTGACGGCACCTGCGGTGCGTTGAATTTTAGGATTCGAAACGCTTTCCCCTCCGGCGATGTCGTGAGCACTCCATAAGTCGCGAGCGGATGTTGCGGAGGTGGTTCTTCCGGTTTCCGCTGGGTATCGAATGCGGAGGTGGAAAATGATGGGACGTGGTAATTTCCACTGGACTGAGAACTGTAAATACTGTACGGTGTAGACTTGCTCCAAGTGTTACGAGCTACATACAATACTTTCTACCTTCGAATTTTAAGGGCATAGAAAATCGTCGAAACAGTTTCCTTCTAATTCGAACTCTACACTTTTTTTTTTTTGAAAAATTTTTTTTTTTCGTGGAGAGATTGAGGTTACTTTTCGATGAACTTGAATGAAACACAAGAATTTGGTTGGACTTCAATCGGGGTGCCAAAACACCCTCTTCTAAAGTTGATATATTTTTATGCTTGGTTTTTTATAAACACCAAATTTGCCAGGTACTTAATTTTTTTTAATCTGCTTGGTACCGAGGTTTGAGAAGAAGTGAAGTCCCCTGTTTGGGAAGATGGGTTTGCAAGGTCCTGGAAATTTCCACTGATTTTTTTTGTGTCTTGGATATCAAGTTGGGTTTTTTCCGTTTGTAATTTTCTGTTTTTGGGTTTCTAAAGGTTTGGATTTTTAGGACCATTGGGTCTTCGCCATTTCCTCTGAGAGTTGGGGTGAAAACAGATTCTCGTGGAAGATCAAATACAATACTGTAATGTTGAGACATTTGATTGAGTAAGTTGAAAAAAATTGAGGAATTATGTGACCCAATGCTTCGGAAATTTCCACGAATTTTATTTAATTGTTTAACATAAAGTAATGTTTCGATCATTTTCGTCAATTGTGAATTTTAAAAATGTTTGAATATTTTGTTTCCATAAAAGAGAGAAATCACTGTGTTTGATTTTAAAATGCCTAGGTTGGGTTGTTTCCAAGTGTTGTTTCGAAAAAGTGGACAAGTCTAATTAAAATGCGTTGTACGCATAGATTATTTGAATATCGAGAAAGCAGCAAAACGGCTGATAAAGAAAAATATATATCGCACTTTTTGACGCCCGAATTTCGATTTTTTTTTCTGGGACGGATATCGTTACGCCGGGCCCTGAGGGCGAAAAATAAAAATAAAATACTCTGCAAGAATATACTATATTTTCCTTTTAGTTCCACGACGCTGTGGTTTTTTTATTCCCTTTTTAGTTTTTTGTTACCAATCCTCATTTTATTTGAGGAACAATGATGGCCTTTTCGCGCGACGCTTTGGAATGCCGCGTGGGCGATAAGCGACTCCACTTGTCATAAGAAGAAAAAGAAAATCATTGAAAGATCTGGAACTGCGTGTTCGGTGATTTTTCGCGAGGCTTTGTGAGCCACTTGAACTGAGACGAATGGTTGTTTCTGCTTATTTTTCCTTTTTATTTGATTTTTTCATGTCCCTGTCATGTACTGTCTGAGAAATGGGAGCATTTCTCTGACAGTTCTCGAGCTGCTTTTTTTTTTGGTCGAGTTGCTTTGAGTACTGGATGACTGACGTTCACGGTTAACCAGTTTTTGGTTGGAAATATGGGGGGGGGATCCTGGTATGAATAACGGGAATTCTACGTGTTCTGGATCGACGTGTGTGAATTCATGATTTTTCATTGAAATCCTGATTTTTAAAATCCACTTGTTACGGAGAAACGTGATATTTTTTAATGTATCTAATTTTGTTTTTCATTTAATGATAGGCAACTCGCATCGTGTCTGCTAACACTTTCCCGTATTTCCCTCTTCGAAGGTCGATTTTCATGATTGTTTTTCATGATGATTGATTTTCATGAATTGATCTGGAAAATTCGTATTTTTGGGGAGATTTCTGGCGAATATTTCCCGAGATTTCGGTCTATTTAATCAAAAAGGTTTCGAGTATGATCTTTATTTTTTAAATGCTGATTAATGCGTTTTTTCATCGAAAACCCAAAAAGTTTCGGTTGAAGGAAATTGCGTTGTTTAGAAATCATGTGTAATTATTGGAACTCCAGAACTTGAAAAACCATCGCGAAAAGGTGAATTGAAATTTCTGTATGTGACGTTGATATCGTTTGATTTCAACGTTGCCTCGTTTCCTTCTATTGGGGGAAAAATAATCGACTTTATATTTATTTCCGCGTCTGTCGCTTTAAAAAAAAAACAATGGGCTGGGTTCTTCTGGTACTTCTTTGGAACTTCTTTGAAGCGTGTGAAATTATATATTTTTTTTTATGGCCTCGATGGGAGGAATTCAGTATGTTTCAGAATGTAAAAAATAGCGTTATTCGTATTTGCACGTGAGACTAATCGGATGAATTTTTTTTTTTTTCTTCTGTCTGTCTGTGTGTTCAGAAGGTGGATCCGGAACTGATATTCACGAAGCAGGAGCGGATCGGCAAGGGTTCTTTCGGGGAGGTGTTCAAGGGCGTGGACAATCGAACGACGCAGATCGTTGCTATCAAAATCATCGACCTCGAAGAAGCGGAAGATGAAATCGAAGATATTCAGCAGGAAATCATGGTGTTGTCCCAGTGCGACTCGCCATTCGTCACCAAATACTTTGGCAGCTACCTCAAGGTTTGTGTCTCTCTTTTTTTTCTTTTGTCTCTCTCTCCCTTTTTTTTAATCACCTCGTGTTTATTGCGTCGTTTTGCCGTCTGTGGCATTTTGTGAATGTCGGAATTTTTTTTATCTTGGCCCATTTAATTATTCCAAGACGTATAAGCAGTTTTGAATGTACGGGCTGAAGACTGGATGCCTTTTGCCCGAAAACCGTACGATACCCGATCAAATAAAAAAAGAATGTTCTGTTTACTTTAAAATAAATTTGACCCATTTTTTGCTGGCGAATATTTTACGCAGTTTAATTCGATTCAAGTGGGTCCGAGGACAGCGAAGCGCTTCGAATTGAAATTAAATTGTGTAGAGAAGACCTCTTTTGTTTCTACTCGATAAATTTAATTTTGTGCTCGTTTAATTGATTTACGCGGGGAATAAAATACTGGATAATATATGTTCTTCAGAGAAAAATGTCTTTCAATTTCTAGACATTTTGATGATAATTATGCCGTTGCTGTCCGTGGGTTATCGTATGTACTCGAGTATCACCCAAACCTTTTTCCTTGAAAAAATGGAAGATCAAAATTTTGGGTGTTAGTCATACCCGATTACAGTCTACAGCACTTTTTTTCTGCAAATTATTTACATTTTTGGCGCGTTGCATATTTGAAACGTATTCAGTGAAGTTAAAATAAATATGCTTTTAGGATGTGATGCTAGGAAAAATATTAATATAGGGTCGAATCAAAATGGCAGATGATAAATTGAATTAAAAGCGAGTGCAAAGCAATTTAATTCAAATTTTAATATTTTATGATCCGGAATTCATAATTTCAGCGTATATTTCTAAAACGGAAGATATTTTTTCAACGCAGAAAATCGGGGTACGCATCTCATGAGGGGATTTATTCATGTCAAAAAATTTCATGTGCGTATTACTCCAGTAAAAACGGTACTGTATATTGAAGTTTCAAAAATTTGTGAGCTTTCGTGATTTTTTCTCACGAAAAGTACTTCACTTTTCCGTGAATTGGTTGTAAGATGCTTTTTTTTGGAAATTTTTTTATAACTCTTCTCCCGGGTTTCCACGAAAATCAGATGGGTCTGATGTGTGCAGTAGTAATCTGCAAATATTTCGTCCGGGGCAATATTTTTCGCAGTGTAAAGAATAAATTGTTTTCTGATCTTGGGACACTTTTACTTGATTACTTTTCTTGCAGGTCCTGAGCGAAATAAATTAGTTGTTCACCGGTAAAATGATCACCCAATTTGTTCATATCTGGAGGTGGAGATATTTTTCGTTCTTTTTTAAGCTTTTACTTCTATGCCCTAAGTTTTTTTTTATTATTATTATTCAAAGTTTGAGCATCAAGTATGGTTTAAAGTTCACACGGTATTTACGATATTCGATCATGTCTGTAACTGACGATCAGCATCGAGACTATCAAAACTGAGCATTTGTTACAAATTTGTGAGTAATTTTTTTCGTTTTCGAATTACCATGATACACAGTATGTTGATGAAACTTATAAAAATGATTTACAACTAGTTTAATGTAGCTTTTTCAAGCCTGGTTAAAAACTCGAAGCATGCGTCGATTTTGCCAGTTTTGAAGGATTTCAAGAAGATGCTGTGTTTAAGAAATGTGGTGAAGTGTATCCAAACGTATTTTCGAGCATTCTGAAAACTGATATTTAATTGACAGATTTTGTTTTCTTTGTTGGGTATTATCCGATTATCTAAAAATGGTGATTAAATTGCTGTGTTCTTTATTATAAGGTCTTTTGTGGTGAGGTAATTTTTAAATTCGTATTTTCTGTGGAATAAGGAAATTGAATATTGACTCGTTTGTATTTTTCTAGTGTTTTCGCAAATGAACTCGGCGTCGGATTATTATTATTTTTCTTGAAGTGAATTAGAAGAAAATCATTTTAGCTGTGAAAATAGATCTCGTCGAAGGGAAAATATATTATTTTTGATGTGATTTTTAACAGGGAACGAAATTATGGATCATCATGGAGTATTTGGGAGGCGGGAGTGCCTTGGACTTGATGAAGGCCGGACCCTTTGACGAACTGCATATCGCCATTATTTTAAGAGAGGTGCTGAAAGGATTGGATTACCTGCATTCTGAACGAAAACTTCATCGGGATATCAAAGGTGAAAAATAAACCACTTGTTTTTCTTTTGCTGTGTCTCGCCTTTGTCGTGTGAAGTTTGTGCCAACTTCTTCTTGGAACTTTTAGTCCGTGACCTTTGAAAGATTGGATTGTGATATACAGTAGTTGAAGGGGCAGGTTTCTATTTTAACGATACTTATGGCTGGCTTTGCAAATGTTCGGTTCATTTACAAGTACTGTAATGGGCATCGTTTAGAAATGTGCTTGTTCTGTTTGTGTAAAGAATGCGACCTTACGTCCGGAGATGATTTTAAATTGTGTCAACTACGACTGAAAATCATGAGCCCTTTTTCTGATCGAAAAGAATATTTTTTATTTATTTTAGAATCTCGGTTCAAATTAAGATTATCTATTGATACTCCCATGTTCAGAGAGAAGGTTTCCATAAAGCCACTGTGCAGTGAGAAAATTGTAATGAAATGCGTGTGTGGTCAGGATGTTTTGCATGACAACGCTATTTATTTGAAGTTGATCCTCGATAACTTGAACCTTTCTAATTCGAATTTTATTTTAATGCGCTAGAAACAATGCATTAAAAGCCTCCTTAACTCGAAGGCTTTCTCTCCATCGATTTCCTTTAATCGAATTTTCTGGAGGCCTTCTGGCGATTATTTTATTCGCATAGGAAAGAGAAAAGTAATGGAAATGTACCTTGATGTCTTTTGAAAGGAAGTGAACGATTGAATGGGCGACTCTGATTCCAGCATCTTGTCAACTCATTCGAGGAAAAATTTAAGGCCCAGAATATCAAAAAAAAAAATTTTCCTGTAATTCTTCTTGCTTTCGTACAACACGAATGCTTGTTTCCCCTGCTCGAAATTGTTTTTCTTGTCCCTCGAAGTTTGACTTGGAGAGACTCAACTGTGCAATTTCAATTGCAAATTTTTTTAATTGTGTTGAAACTAATTTCGTTTTGTTTTTAATTTTCGCAGCGGCAAATGTATTACTCAGCGAACACGGGAACGTGAAGTTGGCGGATTTCGGCGTGGCGGGCCAGCTGACGTCGACGACATCGAAGCGCAACACGTTCGTCGGGACGCCGTTCTGGATGGCGCCCGAGGTGATCAAGCAGTCGGCGTACGACTCCAAGGCGGACATTTGGTCCCTGGGCATCACGGCCATCGAGCTGGCCAAGGGTGAGCCGCCCAACTCCGAGCTCCACCCCATGCGCGTCCTTTTCCTCATACCCAAGAACAGCCCTCCGCAACTCACGGGCAACTACACGCGACAGTTCAAGGAGTTTGTCGAGACCTGTCTCAACAAAGACCCGGAAAACGTAAGTTTTCGTACAAAATACAGTGTACACCTTTCTTTTTTTCTTTGCTAGTGTTGCACCTGTCATAATTGATCGCCATCATTTTTTCCGGTTCCCAAAAGTAAAATACTGTACTGGACAAAGACGCGATTTCTATAAAGTGAGTGACTGAAAGGTTGACCCACGTCATGTGCATATTGGAAATATGCGTCTGGGCATATTGGAAACATTTTTTTTTTAAAAGATGAGGCTAATTGAAGAAATTATTCATATTCTCCGCTAATTCGCGGGGAAACCAGCCTTTTTGCGCCGTCGTAGAGATTTCTCTGGAAACTGTCCTGTTCGTTGAAATGAGTTCTCACGTGTATCAGCTGTTCAATCTGTTCTTTTAAAAAAATGCATTACGCGTGATATGAGTACAGTACAGTACAGTATTTGTAATCGACGATTCGTTGGCTGTATATTTGAAACTGATTTATCCACTACTCCGAAGTCTGGGAAACCAGACCTCTTTCCTCCATCTGAAAAATTTCTATGTATTCTTTGCTGCAATGAATTCCTAAAGGGTTCTAGCTGTTCATATGTTCTAAACAATGCATTACGCATGACGTGAGTGCAGTATTTTTTTAATCGAAGAGTCGTTGGTTCGATATTTGATCCTGATTTATCTTGCGCAATCATGTAATGAAAAAAAAAATTACGTAGATCCAGATTCGATGACTTGTTTTATCACTTTGTTTACTCTCTTTGACAGCGACCGTGTGCGAAGGATTTACTGCGACATCCGTTCATCCGCAAGGCGAAGAAAAATTCGTACCTCGTCGATCTCATCGAGAGGTATAAGAAGTATAAAGCTGATCATGGTGCTGAATCAGATTCCGATACCGACGGCTCTGAATCGTAAGTCATCCTCAGCGTATTTATTGGGATAATCCTGAATACAAATACTGTAGTACAGTGCTGCTGTTCTCGAATTTCATTCGACAGAAACGAATTTGATCTTCTCGATTCATCGTATTTAATCTAGAATGGGAGTTATTTTTATTTATTAAAATATTGTTCAAGTCCGATTATCCAGGATTAAATCTGCAGACCAAATTTTGATTCATTCAGGTTACTTTGTGAAGTTTAGCAGAAGAGGAATTTGTGACATGCATGGTTTTCCGCACTACCTCCTCGATAACCAAGAATAACACCAATTATTGATTCATACTAAAGGGCATATTCAGTTACAGTAAAATACTTATTTTGCAGTAAAATCTCGGTACAGTACAACCAGATCCGTGGGACCTGGAACATTGCCTTCGTTATTACTATACATTCGTTGTGATGAGCCTCGAATATCTTCATAATTTTTTTTTCTAAACAATGATTCGTTTTATCAAAACCGTATTATCCAGGCTTCGCTTAACGTTAGTTGCTTTGAGGATTTTGAATCAAGGGACATTTAATCGTTGATAGATAATTGCTTTAGAAGGTTCGCAAGCTGGGCGAAAAATGAAAGATGCAAATTTATGTTTGAAGTGGAAGAAACTTGTTAAGAGGTTTAATGTTCTGTTACTTCTATCAGTAAAGTGTACGAGAGGAATATTCAAGAGAAATTTGACACCATTGCATTCATGTTTTTTCATGTGTCTGATTTTCAAAAAATGTGTGAACAGTACTGTAATTTTATTTTTCTGTTTTAAAATGTTACAGTATCATTACTTGAGCGTCGTGTGTTTCCGTAGAAATGTTCGTTTGTTTTTGGATAGTGAAAAATTCGTTTGAAAAAACGTTTTCAACTTAATTCTGTTGTCCTTTTCGACCTTTTAGCGAGGGTTCAATGCACGATCGAGGGCCAGACGACGACTGGGTAATGACAATCAAGGGTCCCTCGTCCCGGACGGATCCGTCGCTGGACGTGTTCCCACGACACGTCAACTCCCTCAACAATAACGACGACATTGCTGACGCGGAGGAACGGAGGAACCGACGGCAAGTGCCAGCATTCTCGTCAAAGGCGCTCGACGAGGACGACGAAGAAGCCGTCGTTCAGGCGTCGGCGGCGGCCAGTGCTGCCCTGTTGCGCGGCAAGCGGAATAGTTGGCAAGGCGGAGAGGCGGACACCTCTTTGCCCAAACCGGCGCCGTCTCCGGCGTCGCGACCTGTGTCAGTGCACGGAGATGTGCCTGTCATCGCCTCGCCCGGTAAATTTACCGGTTGAAAGTTTTTGGCTCGATTTCGCTCGAATACGAGGCCGTGTTGATTATGAGAACCACCACCTCTTCCTTTTTCTGTGCTTGGAAATCCAAGAAAGACAGATTCTTTTGCATGCAAAGTCTATAGAAATCTAAAACAACGTGCATTCCGTTTATTCAAACCGAGTGGAGTTCGTTTACCGTTATTCTACTCATCTTGTACTGTACTTCAATTACTTGCTTGATTTCCTCGAATACTTTCGTTGGGATGCATCCCGATTAAATTCCGTGCTGTTCAATTGAAAATGGTAGAAAGGATTTGAAAGTTCGAATTTCGGATTTGATTCTTGTATCAAAGATGGCTGTAATCAAAAGCAATCCTGAAATTTACCTGGAAATCCAAAATTGCCTTTAATATTGGACCCCATTAAATGTAAGGCACAGCGAAATTTTTCTAGTCGATTTTTTGAGAGAATGAAAAATATGTGCGTCTTTTAAGCGATTTAATCAAGTACGGCAATTGTATTCTATCACTGAAAAGTAATTATTGTGTTGTAGCACAGATTTGCCTGTTCGTTCCTTACCGTGAAAATGATGTTCATAGTTCTGGTTTTTTTTCTTGTACAAACTTAAATTCGTTGTTGGGCTAGTTTTTTCAATCAAGGGTGTTCATGGTTTATGACATTAGTGTATTTTATATTTTCAAGTGAACTAATGCGTTACCAGAAACCGTCTCATAGCCTAGAAATCTTTCATCTGCTTGGGTCTGCAAACTTAGGAAAATTTACAAAACCCACTGACATTACCAAGAACGACTATCAAGAATTATACTTGCTATCCAAAATTAACTCCAGTTTCTTCATAATGTATTTAATTTCTTTGGAAATATTTTTTTTAGTTCGGGAGGTAGTTTTCCACATTGCTGACGCTGTGTGCAAGCTGGCAATGAAATACTAAAATAGGAATTTTATTTAGAAGAGATATGCTTATTTAATTTATGAAGGGGGTGTAAAAAAATATCTTTTGACTAAGCAGCGAGTACAATATTTAATCATGAAAATTGGCCATTTCTGGAGGACAACTCCTGGTGCCGTATTTGGCGTTGAAGTTCAACCCTCTTTATGCACGGTGTATAAAACTGTTGAATATCTGATGAATTAGATTTCCGATTTGAACGTTCTGACCTTCCCGCCGAGTAGGTCACGTACACGCTTATTGGCTTTCTTAGCCGAAAGAACGTTGATGTAGCAGTAACTGTTTTTGAGGAAATTTTTTGGAATTTTTCTGACGCATATTTTTCGTATGCTTGCCAAGAGTGAACAAGAGTATTCCCTCAAGAGATGCTTTCACTAGGTGTTTCAAGGGGAAAGAATTGATGAATGTTTTTGTTTCGTCATTGATCCACAGTCAAGTCCCAAAAGGACAACTGGAAGTCGTCGCCGAAAAAGGACAGTCCGAGCCGGCAGCTGAGAGAGAGCAGCAGTGCATTGCTAAACGCCAGTAACGCGTCCGAAACGAAGCCAGAAAAGCCGAGCCAGAACAAATCGAAGCCGCGTAGCGGATCCGGGTCAACGACGGCGCTCAACCACACCACGTCGGCTCAGTCGTCGTCGTCGTCGTCGACGTCCTCGTCGTCCTCGTCGACGAATGCCCTCAACAAGGGCAAGCAGGACGACGTGTCGCACTTGGTGTCCTCCCAACACCCGCCATCGTACCTTTTGTCGTGCGTCATTCACCCGCTCCTCTCAGAGGTGAGCGTTGTTTTTCAGGACCTTCCTGTTTTTTTTCTTCGTTCTTCGCTGTATGACGATGATTTTGAATTTTTTTGTGATGATTGTTGTCAGTTTCCGTCTCGTGATTTTGTTTCCGGTGTTCATTTTGATCCTGTTCGAATGCACTGAAATACCCGAGAATCATCTACAGTCTACACTATCTACAGGCTTCTGTTCTTTGATCAAAAGTGTGACCAAATGTTTTACGATGAAAATATCGTATCAAATGTTCCCCTTCTCACTTGATTTATTTACACATTGTACAGTAGCAGTATGTCAAATTTTTTCGATTTTAGTTTCTCCTTGAAAATCGAGGTCAAGAATCTATGTCTTACTGTATTTGTACCATTAATCTTGTGTTTTGTGTTCCGATGGGCTTGAGAAGTAAAAGCACTTTTCCTCAAAATTTAATCGCAAAAAAAGATAAGAAAATGTGCACTAGATGGTTTCGGGTGCACAACTTGAGAGGAAATATTACTGAAACGTGGTGACGAGTTATTAATTCGTGTTTAAAAAAAAGTATTGAAGCAGCAAGTCTCGAAGTTTAGATTGGTTTGGTATACTTTCTCTTTCTATTTTGTGTTGGTGCTTTTTTTGGTCCGTGCTCATTCGTTCATCGTACAATACAGTACTGTATCTTCCTCTTCGGTGCTCACACGATATTTTACAGTGGCTCTTTTAATCTCATGGTTTTTTTTATGCTTGCTGTTCTGGGCACAAGTTTTCCTGGCTTTTTCGTCGTGTGAACTGATCAACCCTTCATGGTACGAGAGGATCAATAGCTAAACCGGTGCAGCAAGAAGATGATTTTTAGAAATACTGTAGAAAGGGGTTGTCAAGAGCAGATTAAAAAAAAATAGATAATTACCTAGTTATATTGGCGAAAGATTAAAGATTTTTTAAATAACCTCATGCGTCAAGCCTCGTTTATGGTTGGCTCTTATCCATCCTGTTCTGTCGATTTTTAGCTCCAGAGGAGGCATCGAAATAACGTACGGCGTCCCGAGTCGAGCGTGAAGTCAGACGCCATCGGGGAGTTGAAGAACGCATTCGAGCTGGCTGAGAGAAACTCGCCTGGACTGAGTCAAGTTTTCGTCGCTCACCTTTTCAAGAAACTTGGAACGAGTGACCAGCGGGTGAAGGCGGCTATGGACCGCCTCATGCGCGACGCATTGTGAAAGGGGAGTCTTTTTTGTTTGTTTGTTGTGAGAACACACCCAGTCCACGTCAGTCGTCGTTGTCGTCGTCGTCGTCATCATCGTTGTCAATGTCGTCTCATCCCCCCCAATTTTTTGACAATAAGGAAATGTGGTTCTTTTCACCATGGCACGCCCAGCTGCTTTGAAGAAAAAAACATTTCCGCGAAAAAAACGTTGTCTTCGTCTTCGATGGGGAAGAAAAATGAGAAACACGTTCCATGAGCTGATTTCCTTCAGCTCAGTTGAAGAGTTACCGATTTTTCTTCCATTTTATTTTGTGCTTCGAAATTACCGTTCAAGTGGGCTGAGACGAGTTCCTTCTTCGAACCTGCATTTTAGGTTTGGCATTTATTAATTTTCATTTTTATTCTATTGACCATTTATCTCTCTCAAATCGCATTCCTAATTATTGTGCGATGGTTCGCAATATAATGAATGCTGTTCGGATGCCGAGGGTACCCTAGAATGGATGGTTCAGCCTGATAAATTATGTGTGTCGATTTTTAAATTCTGACTTCCTTTTAGTAAGATAGGAAACTACTGAATTATAGCGGACTTATTTTTTTTAACCCGCTTTTATTGCCGTTTAGGACTGCGGAGAATTCAATGTCAGTGGTTCCTTATGGTGTGTGGGGCTATTTAATGTCGAATTTTAAGACAGTCTTTTTAACTCTGTTTCCGAGGGAGTTCGTTTTATCATTGTCAGCTGTGAACATCCGATTTATTTATTTTTCAATTTTTTTGAAAATTTAATTCTTGTGAGTTTGGGCGTGCAATGGTGAGGAATGGGATCAGGAAACAAAAAACTCGGTATTTATATGACTTGCTTTTCGGTGAAGCAAGAGCTGAGAGTTGAGTGTTTTCGTCTCCGAGCCGCAGGTGGAATTCATTTGGCCATGCTGAATAAAATCTGTGATTTTGCTCCCCGTTTATAAAAGAAGCCCCCCATGGAAAGATTCGTTATATTGCAGAAAGGAGGAATACGGACTTGAGTGTTTTTTTTTTTTTTTTTTTTTTTTTTTTTTTTTTTTTTTTTTNAATACGGTTTTGTGTGTTTTTTTTTTTTTTTTTTTTTTGAGTGCGGAAATGAGATCGGGATTATATAGAACTCGCGTAATCGTGTTAATTTTGCCCCTCCTTCCCCCCACGTAAGCGTATTTCCCTGGTTTTATTTCACCATTGGCGACCATTCCTTGTTGTTCCGAGTTGTGAAGAAAAAGAAACGGTGAGAAGAAATGATTGGGAACCGGCGATTGTGGTAGATGTGCAGCGGAAGAGAGGATCCTCTTCACCGGTTATGTTCCTGTTCGTTTGTAACAGGCGAATTTTTTTTGTTCATTACGGGACAGAGAGAGAGAGAATTATTGAAAGAAAAGGAGAAATGCATGGAATGTTATTCATCACTTTGTGCCGACATTTTCATGCATGGTTTTGGAAATTCCTGCTTTAGTTTACGCAGCATTTGAAATACTATTGTTGGAAAAAGGAATCTTCCAACGGCGAAGGATTTGTGTTCACGAAAAATAGGTTGAAGGACTTTTGTTTTCTCGGCATTCATTTTTTGAAATCGGAATCGATGTGATGACTCGTTTAGTTTACCTTGAAGAGTTGAGTTTACTTCAAGGGAAGTTTATTTGTCCAAAAGCCCAGAACCGAGTATCGTGTGTCAACTCAAAACCATGTGACACAGTTGATCAGTTCAAAAAGTGCCAAAGTTCCGCTGAACCGAGTAATCTTGAGCTTTGTGGAATGATTAGGGTAGTACTTTATTCTTTGATCCTTCAACATCGGCTTCATAAATTTTCGAATAGATTACAAAACTTTTGAGGTGAAATTAGAAAGAATTGGAGCCAGACTACTTGGGAAGAGAGAAAAAGATGCTTAACGCAATCGAGACTAATGATTATCCTCTCAAAATATGAGCCTGGATATTCAAGTTTTCGAAAGAAATGCGAATTGTTATTGAATAATCATCAAACTGTAGTATGTGATGCAAAAATTCGTGATGCTGCAGCCCGATTTCAATGAGCAAAAAGTGTATTAAGCGAGGCGCCCGTTATCCGGGGCACCGCAGTCTATACTTCACTCTGTTGTAAGGTGATTCATAATTATTTTTTGTTGCATTCACGGAATTTTTTTTTTTCGTTCAAAGCTGTGATAATTATTACTGTACCAGTTTCCGTTTTTTTTTTCAGTCGTACTTCCTTCTGAATTTACTTCTGGAACTTTCGTTCTTCTTTTCAAACGTATTGAAGTTTGCTATCTTGTGATGTTTTTAGGTAGTTTTTGTATTCATACAGGGTGTCCTATTCCTCGAAGAAACTGGAAAAAAATGAGAAGTTGTTCAGGGTTCAGGCTACGTTTCGTCGGACATTTTTGAGATGAGTTGGCAGGTAAGAAGGTGACAGCATGCGCTATAAAATTGGAAAAGACCTTTCTCATTGAATTGTGTGAGGAATCAATTGAAAGGATGGAATTCACACGCATCGATGATGATTTTAATTTATGCAAAAATCACGGATGTTTGCATGGGGTTTTTTAATTGCAGATCTCACGTCCACGCAGGAACAAAATTCATTTCCCAGGAGGCACCGAGAAACTTGAACTTTTTGGACGAAGGGTCTGGATCATTTGTCCTTGTTTAATTTTCACTTTTTTTCGAGGATTTTTGCGGAAAACAGAGGCATTATTTCTGTCTTCTAACGACGTTGCGCATTCAAATTGGATTTCATAAGAAGGTGAGTTTCTGTAAATTTAATTTTTTGTGATACTGTATTATTGAAGGGATTTTTTATTTCATACAGAGCTCAAACATTTCCTACGTGATTGATTGAAAAAAAAAAACAGGTGAAATTTAGAATTCATCTATCACTTTGTGGACCTGCATTCATCTTCTTGATGCGATGGAGCGAGAAAGGTGTTCAGTTACCAGAGAATTTGCGAGTGATCATCGAATATTAAAATTGCACAACATTTTCGTCAGGTCAGTGTTTGACGAAGAAACATTTATTTATTCCTGGAATACCTGCTTACAGTGTGCGCCATGCTTTATTCATAGCTTTTGAATTCCGGGAATTTTCTATTCATCTGATGAATGAGCTTGAAAGGGATTTGGAAGGGGTATTTTTCTCGTGAGCTTAACACTTGTCAATTCTAACGCAGGATTATCCCGTCATTATTTGAAGTAGACAGTTTCTTTCGCTTGGGAATCAATTCGTCGGGCATGATTTCATTCGGAGCTTTTGGGTGGCGAAAGAATATTTATCTTTTTGATTTGATGATGAGTCCAGAAGTGTTTTCTTGTCAAGTTTTTGGTTCCCTGTTCTGATAAAGAATTATCTGGGGTCAGTCGTTGGGGAAGACAAAATTATTTCTGTTTTAGTTAATTCAAATAATATGACGATAAATTTTAATTTTGAAGTTTTGCGGGTCAATTTCCATTCCTCTGATGGACGAGGCGAATATTTTTTGTGCCTTGTAATTTCTTTTGAAATTTTCAAAAATCATCGGGCATGTTTTTTATTGAATAATTTAGAATTTCAAAAAATTTATGGTCACTCATTGTGGATGATTCTGTGCGTATTTTTGTTTTATCCTGTATATTAAACGATTTTCTGTCGTAATGAAGGCTTATCTCGTAAATATGTTTGAAAGACCTTTTTCTTTTTTGTCCGAACCTTGAAGTTGGTTCATGTTTAATTTCAGTTCTGCTTGAGAAAGTCGAAATGTAATGTTTGTTTGATTAATGAGCTTGAAGATTTTTTTCTGCTCTCGTGAATTTCTCGCTTGCTCATTTTAATTGGGGATTATCTGGGATTTTTAGCTGCATTCCGTCGGATAAAAAATTTTCTTTTGACTTATAGATTTGGGGAAAGCTGGGAAAGAATTTTTTTCATGATAACTTTGGAATCCCGTGATAAGAAGTATTTTTATTTAATTAAGTAAAAAACACGGGGTATTTCTGTCACTTGGGATTGCTGAGATGAAGCAATGAATGGGTGTTCCAGCTCTTTTATAAGTTCCAGCTTTACTTTAATATTTTTAAAGTGCAAATGCGAGGTTATCTAAAAAAATTCTTTACTACGCGGGTGTTTCGAATTTTTGTAGGTCTCTGAATGATCCGATACTTATTCTTCTCTCTATTTAACTCCCTCCGTCTCGATGAGGACATAGGGAAAAAGGCGTATTGTATGGAAAAACTGTTTTCATCCTAGGGTTTCAGAATTTATCATTTGAAAAAAACTCATGATTATTTTATCCCATTCGATGTGTATACTGTATAATCTGTTCAAAAATGCATTCTCCCCAAAAGGAACGAAACATGGTGCACAAGCAAAAAATCATGAATTCTGTCTTGTATTCGCAGGGAGGTGCGATTTTTTGCGCCTCAGATCAAAGCCGTTTCAATTCCACTGCGCCAAATCGTCCGGTGATGGGACGGAAACGGCGCAATATTCATCCGTGCAGTCGCTCCAGTTTTCTCCTATTCCTCACGTAAAGACGTGAATTTCAATGAACAGTCTCTTTGGCTACGCGTACGTGGATCCATTCTATCGCCTTGGGGGGGGGGGGGGAAGATTCGCATTATTTAACCCCCGGGTTTCTTGTGCTGGTGGTATAGTGATGATTCGAGACCCCATATCGTGGATAAATTCCGCGATGGACCAGGTCTCGACACGTGTGCATAATGCATTCCTCTCCATTTCTTCGACCCCGATGATGATGATGAGAAGAGCTCCGGCGGGTGCGAGTGTATAATTTAATAACCCCGGGGCCCTGAGTGACATTCGGCAACACGCGGGGGGTCGATAGTTTTGGTGTGTTAATGCGTTCCGGGGTCTCCTATATGGGGCTTGTGTTTCATGTCGGTGGACTCTTAGTTGGTCGACGAGAGGGGTTGAGTGCAGTGCAGTTTCGGCGAAAGAAGTGCGAAGCGTGTAGAATTCTGAACTAAACAGGTGAAGCTCATCCCTACACAAGTCGAATTGTGAATTAGATCCGAAAACAAAGAACTGCGCAAGGGTTACGTTTGAAAATTCATTTTTGAAAGTGTACGTACTTTTTAGAATGAATTTTCAAAGGTAATCTTCAAAAATTGAATCCGCGTGTTGAAGCTGTGCGCGGGGTATTTTGAAAGACACTGTATTAGATTAATTTTTGTAAAGCTTAATGTTGCTGATCGAAAGTTCGCGAAATCCGTTTTCGGTCCGTAGTGAACAGGTTGCCAAAAAATCGTAGGCTTCGAATGACGTACGCCATGTACAATACTGAAGTGTTTTCCGTGAACTGTTCACATTTTCATTATTAAAAATCATGGATGTGTTTTCTCGTTTAAATCTGAATTACTTTTCGATTGGTTTACTTTTTTCTGAAGCAGGATTATGTTTCAAATGTATTGTATTTCTCATCGCTTGTGAAGTGTTCTCGTAACAATGGAAATCACGGTTTCGACCACAGTATTTCGTTATCTGCTCATCGGATTATTTTTTTTTCCGCATTTATGCAAGAAATTCGTTCACTTTATGTAGCATTGTCGATAACATCGTTAAAGTATTCAGTGATGGTTCATCGCGAAGCCAACCATCACTCGAACATTTTGCATGCATGTTTAAGAGGAGAAAGTGAATCCGAGGTAAATAACCGGAATTCTTTCGTTTTCCGCGTGAACGTCTGCAGGATTTCTTGCGCTCTCATGTTTATTTGCTTCTGACAATTTTGATAGTTGTTAAGAACATTCTTTCCCGAGTCTGGAGGGATCATTTCAGCGCGTTGCAAGGAAGGAAGTCGTTTCAAGACTTTAAGGTAGAGCTTTTTTTGCGTGTTCCCCTTATTATTTTTGAAGTGATTCAGCTGGCTGTCGAAGCAACTCTATCTGTATCAATGAGGATAGTTTTGAAATGTAACATTTTTTTTGCTAAGTCTGAGATTTTGCGAGGGTATTTTCTGAAGCGTTTCGATTTTATCACGGACAGCTTTTTTCCTCAATTTCTTTTCTTTCCGAAAATGAGGTTTTCTTACCTTTCTTTTGTGTGTCAGAGAAATTTTGAATACACTGGCGGATCTTCGGAATCTTTAACGGATTTTTTAACGTGTCATTTGTTGTTGAAAAGAGTATTTGAATGTGAATTGAATGCATTTGAGTTTCTGATTTATTATCGACGTGTGTGGCAGTTTTTTACGCGTACGCCGCGAAATGTTGCCGCTCCTTATCAATTTTTTGTGAAGTATGCGAAAACGTAGGTCTGTTGTGTAAATTTGCGTAATTTTCCGCATCATTCTGAAAGAAAATTTTGAAAATCGATTAATTGATCAACAAGTGACTTGATCCGTTCCGTAGAAGGAAGAATTTGAGAACCGGTGACTTCAAGTTTGTGCGCAATTTTCAGTTTTTCTTGGACGGATACAACAGGTATTTTGAAGTTTTATGAAATTTCCGAACTGTTTAATATAGTGTGGATCAAAGTGTCTTCGAATTTTTATTGCAAATGTTTGTGTTGAAACCGATGTCTTGATTTGTTTTGTCATTATTTAATTTTCATCAAATTGAAACTTGTACTCTTCAAGTGGCATTTGTCTTACGCGTCTTATTATGTCGATTTCAAATTACTGTACATAGTACAGTACAGTACTTTCAAATTCCTATGATAACCGCGTCCTGGAAACATATTATGACTATATTCGTAAAAAGTCTTCGCTCTTCCACTTTCTGAAAAGAAAAAAGAGCTACAGAAATACTGAGAAGCAAGGGAAAAATGTTGAATGTGCGTAGGATAATCACAAGGAAGCTTTCATCCACCCAGGAAATTATTTCTGTGAGCTAAGTTTTTGCTATGGCAACTTCAATTTTTCCAAAGATGTCGCTGTCTGACATAAAAAGCAAAAATCCGCGACAAATCTGAGTTATGTTATTATCGTGCCCAAAAATCTGCTTTACAATGCGTCCGTTAACCGAAGTACAGCAGTCTTTTATACTCACCCTTGTTAAATTTTGTGACATTTTTCAGATTTTTTTTTCTCGAGAGAGACGAGTCCCGAATGGGTTCCTGTGAACCATTCTTCAAGATTGAAGACCCGAAATCGCTCCGTGTTTCTGCTGGACGTCTGGAACGTGGCATCTTGTCTGTCGGACAACAAATGTCTCAGCTGCTCCTCGGGGGACACAAACCCACCGAAACTCGGATTAATTCTTCTGGTTCTCAAGAAACCCTGGATAACTTCGAGAGAAAATATGAGCCTTGTTCCTGCTCGTCCGTGAAAGCAGATGAACGGCGGGTTGCGAATATTGATGACCTTGAGGCTGGAGTAGTGATGGACAAACGTTGCGCTGGGCGACAATACGCACATTTGAATAAGCATGATGTAAGTTGATTAAGATGATTTTGATGAGGTGTTAAGTTCCTGAGTTGTTCTTGAATTTTCCAACTGATCGTGTGCCTATTATCTCTCGTCTATACCAGCAGGTGTTGATGAATGTACTGTATTTTTAACTTGCGTCACCAGAAATTTAAACTTCTCTACTCGAACCAAGTTACCTAGTAAAATATGTACTGAAGTATTTCTTCGGACTCATGAAGGATAATGGACTTTGATGCAGAGAATATTCGCTTCTTTATCATAGACAATTTACAAAATATGAATACAAATTTTTTTTTAATTTTCTTTCTAATATTGTTTTTATCGGACAATCTGGAAGAAAACGGAAGGTAGCTTCATGGTAGGGAATTTGGTAGTGCGAAGTCTTGGATCTCCTCTGACAAAAAGAGTACATAGTATTTTCAACAACGACAAATTCTGAGCAGATGATTAAATAAATATGCCATTTCAATGGGTGTGAAATTGGCAACTCTCTCTTTGAATCTAAATTCGACTTCCCCGTTTTATTCTTCAGGAATACTGTAGTTTTTTATTGTTGGATTTTTCCATATTCGGGCAATTTTAGCGTGTAGTTTTTATTCAGTTTGATTGGACTTTTGATTCTTAGAATATTGTTCGGACATTCTTCCAAGTTTGTTATGGCGACCCTTTATGTATGCATTGGAAAAAAGTTGCAATGCCCATTTCAAAAAAGGATTTCAATTTGTGCACCTATATGCTCCTTATGTATCAATCACCATCAGCAAGATATTGGAAAAAGTGTACATTTTAAGTGATTTCGGTGGTTAAAAATATATGTTTCGTGAAAACTGAAGGAAGTGTGGATACAACTTTATCTTCACCCGTTCGAAATTATTAAAATCAATTCAAATTTCACTGATGATCCGTTTATACGTGCGGTCTTAGAACTCGCTACGGAATTGTGATCTTATAATTCACAGAAAATTCAAATTACCAAATATGTAGCTCAAAGAGGGGTGTGCGAGTCATAAACTTGGGTATTCATTTTTCTGCAACTTTTTTTAGATTTCCCGTGTTTGTCATACTTGAAATGCATTTAGTGCAGTTCAAAGAAGAATAATTTTTAAAGACTAGCGGAAATGTGTATTTAGGCTAAAATCGAACTGCTGGGTAGATTTGTGAAGAAAAAAATGCGTGCAGAAATGTTATTGGTTTAACTTTCAAATTTCAGCATTATTTTTTCTTCAAAATAAATTATTTTATGTCACAGGAAACCGCGTTGCGCGTCTTATTATGCATGAGGGTGCTTGCTGGTACTGTACTCGAGAGTAAATGCGGTACTGTACTTGCATTATTTTGCATGCATCACGTTTGTTGTTAGGCTTAGAATGGTGTTTTTGAACATAGTGCAGTACAGCATTTGGTACTGTACGTATATCCCTGTAAATGCCGGAAAGCACTGAAGTTTTCATTGCGTAATGGATGAAGTCAGCACCACGATGATATTATATCCATTTCCTGTGCTTATCACTCAGCTCTGAGGACATTGGCACGTTATTCTCAAGAAAAATTAAAATTTGTGAAAGTGCGGCTACGTGATTAGGCGCTTTATCGAAGATTAACTGAAATAACTGCACTTTCATTTTGCGCCAGTGCAATTTTTCCATTATCTTTCGGGTATATGTATGTGTGATATACAGGTGTATATAGTCATTGAGAAACTTTGATGGAGCGTAGACATGTGGAAGTGGCGTATGTGATCATATTTTTCCTTCGCATTGAATACATGTAACTATACTCATCCTACGGCCCCGCATGTTTTTTTCTGTATTTTCATTATAAATGGGTCAATAAAGTCAATAATTCAAGACCTCTCTTGAAGATGTAAATTTGTATTATGTGTGCATAAGCAATTTGGGATTTTAGATCATTTTGAGTTGAATTTGTTGATAAATGCGCTTCCTAACATAAGTTTGAAAACCTGCTCATAAAAACAAATGTGTCTCACTGTATAGCCTATAACACTTCCACATGCAGGGTTGTTGACTTATACATGAGAAGGTAGATTAAAAATCCAAGCTGTATGATTTCTTTCATGGTTTGAGCTATGACAATGTACAGTGTGAAGCAAAAAATCATAGTTTCTTATTTTTTCTGAATGATCTAAAATGGCATGCTTCTGGGTGTGAGTGTAAGTGGCGTATTAAAAATGGATAGAATGTCAACCAAAAAAATTAAAGATTGAATAATTATGCCAATGATTTTACTAGGTTGGGAAAACGATTTTGTACATTTTCTGAGGGAGTTTCTAAGGGTAGGATAAAGTGTGAAGCCAAGTTTTAGACTATTTTCACATTTCTAACTTCTCTGAATCAGAGTCAATTCTCTATACCCTGAAGTGTTGTCCTATTCATTTTTTTAATTATAAGACCGCTCGAAGCAAAAATTGTTCCTCGACTCATGTGTGTTATTCGGTGTATGGAATTGTTGAAAAGATGAATTTTATTCAGAATTGTCGAACAAAGCTTGACTATTTTATGCCCTCTCTTTCTCGAAGTCGATTGTCGTCGTACAGTATTTTACTGCTGCGCCGCTAATTTTTTTAGACATCGAACATCTACTCGAAAATTATTTTCCGATTTGAGTGTGATTTCGTGCGTGAATTTTTTTTAACGCTTAATGGGATTTCTGCTTTCTTGTGATGCTTTTTTTAGTCTTGATATACAGTAGTACTAAAATGCTTAATGATTCCGAACACCTAAGGATGCGCGGGAAATCAAAGATGGCGTCGCGGTTTCGCTTCCTCCCGCTTTTACGCGCGAGCGTTGATTACTTCCTCGGTCCCGATATCCGTTATTAACACGGATTCCTTTTCTCTGCCAAGTACGGTGGTGATTACTAGCCTCGTTTTTTCTCACACGATTGATGCGTTTCCCCGTCATCCTTTTCCAACGTGCGGTTGTGAGCCGTGACGGGTGATTTGCAGTTGATGCTGATGATGTCTTACTGATGGTGCTAATTTCCTTTAATAGGCTTCCTCATCACGGCGCCGTGACTTGGGAGACGAAGTTGATTGGTGGGAAAATCGGTTTACTCCCGGCCGTAACGGAGCCCCGGACGGGATGACATGGCAAGAACGCAAGCATCAACGCTGCGGGCGGAAATTCATCCACCCGTCATGCGTCCCAATCACCATTATCGTGATCCTCATCCTCCTCGTCGCCCTGCTTCCTTTGCTGGATCGTGACAACGTCGCTGATGCGCAACCGAAACACTCAAATAAGAAATGGAAGGACTTTGGTGGTCAGTTTAAGAATCTCGTGTCCCATCGTGTGGAAGATTGCGGTACGACCTGCAAATTCTCTCTGGTCGAAAGCATACCTGAGAAGATGGATATCTCTGGAGCGAATTACTCTTCGACTTTCGAGTCGTGGGTCGACCTGATTGAAGGAGCCACGACGAGCCTGGATCTTTTGGTGTTTTACTGGAGCCTGACGGCCGAGAGCACGAACTCCACGCACGAACTGGCACATCAAGGCGAAGTGATCTTTGAGAGTCTCAAGTCAGTGGACACGACCAAAGTTCGTTTCCGCGTTGCGCAAAATGCTCCTTCGGCTTCGTTCCCCAACACTGAGTCTGCAGACTTGCCTGCCGAAGTACGAAATGTGGATATCGCAGGATTAACTGGCGGAGTCCAGCACTCCAAGATGATCCTTGTAGATGGTCAGCATGCGTATCTCGGAAGCGCTAATATGGATTGGCGATCGTTGACGCAAGTGAAGGAGATCGGGTTGTTTGTCAAGGACTGTCCGTGTGTAGGCGGGGATTTGCAGAAGATATTTGAGATTTATTGGACCCTGGGGCAACCCGGAGCTACGATCCCGGACAAATGGCCTGAGGAGTTGGATACTGAGTACAACATGGATCGTCCCATGGTTTTAACTGTTAATGGAACCTCTCCTTCTCGTGTTTCCATTGGGTTGGTATATTTCTGATTACGCACCGTCATGAGCTGAATACCTTTTTTTTAAATCACGTATGTGATAATCAGGTAAAGTGTAACTCACCATACACGCAGTATATAGAGATCTGTTGGAGCGTAAAATATGCCCAGTCTTCCAGTAATTTGGACGTGTATTTATTTGAGATCAACGAACTGAATAGAAGGCACAAACTCCTTGATGTGATCACGGAGTCCTTCTTAATGAACGTAGGGAATGGTGCTCGAAAATCCGTGCTTAATAATTCTTCTCATGTGATGTTCACAGCGTTAGTCCCCCGCAGTTTCGAACTACACGGAGGGACCGGGATTTGGACATGATACTGAGACTCATTGAGACCGCGGAGGAGTTCGTTTATATCTCTGTCATGGACTATTTCCCGACTAGTCTGTACCGGGGCACCGATAATCGGTACTGGGATACACTTGATACGGCTTTAAGACGCGCCGCGTTCGATCGCGGAGTGAAAGTTCGTGTGATGGCTTCCATTTGGAACAGCACCCGGCCAATCATGCGCAGGTATATCAGTTCTGTTTTCTGCTGCTTGCAAGAATAATAAAGTTGAATATGTAGTTTAGTTGTCCAGTTTCACATCCTATATACATTCTTTTTGTATTATATACATTTGCAATCCGTCCACAGCTCATAACGAGATTCGGAAGGTCTGATATAGTACTGCGATCTTTTTGGGGAGAAATGTTATTTGAAAAGAGCCTATTTACCCTGTAAATAAATAATATTGGCATGTACAGTGTAAAAGATAATGTGAACCAGTTTGCCAGTATTAAATCGCATTATCAAATAGCTTTGGAAAAGTAAAACTTCTGCGATGGTTAATGATATTTCTTGAATAACGACCATTTTGAGTGTTATTATATTGCGCAATGTTTTTGTTCTTTTGTTATAGCTGCCAATTAACTGCTGCACAATTGTACATTATTTTTTACATAAATTTTATGATTTGTATTAACTCCTGTTTGAAAGGTTAGGTTATAGGTCAGTTTTATGTGCCACAGTACCACAGTGGTCCATGGGGAAAGGTTTTGTCTGCGTAAAACATTCATCAAAGGTTGTAATGATGCCTGTTATCTTCATCTGAAATTTAACTAAGACAACGGCAGTTGAAAATGTTGGTGAACATAAAACTGGGGCTTTCCTCCTAGTAACACTTCAGACAAATCCCCACCAGCTGCAATAAATCATTTGATGTTTCAATTCTGAGAAACCTTTCGTTAAAGCCCAGCTTTCTATTGTTCTTGAAACATTCCACCATACCTGCTTCATTGGTTCTCAACTTATTTTTTGCAATGCAATTTTTTGAAGGACTTGACGGTAGGCATTAAAAAAATTCTGCTGGTGTGCAGCAATTTTGTGGAACTTTCCTGGTTTAAAAAAATACCGTATTATGGAAATTTGCCAGTTGGTTGGCCCAAAAAGGTTTGGGAACACTGTTGTTAGCAGATAGTTAAATGTTTGTACTTGTCTGGTTTTTAGACATACTGCACAGTTGAAGTTAGGCATTTCAGCTGTTGGGCTAGGTAAATTTAGTTAGAACAGTATTTTGAAAGGTAACTGTTATGATTAGACAAGTTGATGCATAGCTAATTTTTATATTAGGCTAGGTTATGTTAGTGAGGTTGGCTATGACTAGGACAAGCAAAAACCCTTGCATTCATTTTTGAAAATTGCTGAAGTTTCTTGTCAGTCAGAATAACTTCTTGCTTATGTCGCATGTACAAGGGTTCTAACAAAAGTTCTTGGATTAGCTATGAAAATGGCTTACAATTGAGCTGAAAAAAAATTATTTTTTAGGGAAAACATATTCTTTTGCACAACAAAAAATGTCAGCCCTGTTTGACAAAATTTTTTGAATTTTTTTCTTAATTCACCCTGGCAGAGTTTTGCTCTCCACTCAAAAGATGAGGCGCCCTTTTTTTGTTGTAGCCCAGCTTTCCCCTCAGAATTTTTGAAATCAACTTGGTATTCTTTCTAAGGGTTGCCTCCACGTCATCCAAGGCAATTCCGCCATTTTCATCAACAGCCGCCACTTCGGCGGCTCAAAAAACAGGTTAGGGAAAACAGGGCAACAACCAAAAAAGGGCGCCTCATCTTTTGAGTGGAGAGCAAAACTCTGCCAGGGTGAATTAGGAAAAAAAATTCAAAAAATTTGTCAAACAGGGCTAATATTTTCTTGTGTGCCAAAGAATATGTTTTCCCTAAAAAAGAATTTTTTTCAGCTCGATTGTAAGCCATTTTCATTGCTACTCCGAGAGCTTTTGTTAGAACCCTCGTATGATGTCTTAAATTTGTGGAGTATAAAATCAGTGCAGTATATGGTCTATTATCAGGATTCGGAAATTGAGCCTTGATATTTTCTTACGTTTGCGTGTGGTGTGGTGAAATGCGCTCGTTTGCTGCATTCCTGATTAGGTTCCTGCAGTCTCTGAAAGTGCTTGAAGGAAGTGGAATAGACATTGACACGAAACTTTTCCGTGTTCCTGCCTATGACGAGGAGCAAGCAGCGATTCCTTTCGCTCGTGTGAACCATAATAAATACGTCGTCACGGAAAGCACGGCCTTCATGAGTGAGTTCCCCACCCCCCTGCTTTTCTTTTTTTGCTATTCAAATTCATATTCGAAACCGCAGGAATGTGTTTTATTTATTTTTTCCCCATTTGTCTCTTGCAGGTACTTCGAATTGGTCCGAGGACTATTTCACAAACACAGGCGGGATCGGAGTGTCGATCACGCAAGACAAAGATGCCGAGGCTTCTTTGCAGCGACAGCTTGAGGCCGTTTTCTCGAGGGACTGGTTCTCCGAATTCACCGAGGATCCTTGAGATTTTCGTGTTCTGTTTCCTGTTAAAAAGACTGAATTTTCGCGGAACGTTTTCTTAAATTTTTTACAGCCTCGCTTTGGTGATCAGCTTGACCTGGATTGCTTATATATTCAGCGGACATTCGAAGTATAATGTTTTCCTTTTGGGCATTGACTGTAAACTTGAAGACTGATGAAACTGATTCTGGTTGCGATATTTTGTATTGTGCTTCTTTTTTTTTCGCACGATTCAAAAGTCACTTCTGCGCGTTGAAAAATATACTGGAAGGTTTTTTTTTTTTTTCCAAACTTTAGTCCGAATTGACGCGCAATGATCGAATAGGTAAATACGGTGCGTAAGGGTGGAACAAATTGTATGCTGTGAGAACGTGTAACTGCATATTTATACGGTTGTAATTTTCCAATTACTGGAAAATCTCGTTACAACGAAGCCATTGGAACCTACGATTTAGCTTCGTTTCGTTGCAGAGAAAAAAATCTTCAGTTGGTGAGTAAACAAAAAACGCTGATTCGTTTTTAACAAAATTCGCTGTAAGTTTTGTGCATACCTGCCTAATTTGTGACAAAAAATGTCTTTCAATGTTAATTAAATTGAGAGTCAGGCAAATGTTTTGCCCTAAATACTCGTCCAAAATTTAAGTAGAAATAAGAACATCGTCCACAATTTCGCGTGAGTATCGAAATGTAAGATCATTAATCTCTTTTGCGTACAGTATTTGACTTTTCTCTTCACTGAAGTTTCTTCGAACCTGTTTTATCTTCCGAAGATTGAAAAATAATTGCCGGTGTGGCAGTGATTTTTCGCTTCACTGCTGTACGTCAAGTTTTACTGCCCTGTTTTTTTCTCGTCGCGTATCCTGTGTATATGCTTTTACTGCTTTCCTCTGGAACAGATTTCGTCTCAGTTGTGAGTCTTGTGACCGCGTGTCGCGCATAAACCTCGTACAAGCAATGAATTTATACGATCCTATTAGTGTATATGCTGTGTTCCTAGAATGTAAGTACAGTACATTATTCGGTGTCCTTCAACTTTGTGACATGGGTGAATAGTGCTATAGCAGGTTGTAAAGCTTGCCTCTGTGGCTAGCTGAAATATATAGGCAGTGCAGAAATCGTCATTTCATGGTTGTACAAAACCAGAAGAGAAAATATTTTGTCAACCCTGAGTTGATGAAAGACTCTTGCTTTGAATTTATGTTTGAGTAAATGCATGCAGAAGTCATCAACCTCATATGAAAAGTGGATCTATATACCTCATCATATGCAGGTATTCAATAAAATCTTGTTACAATAAGAAAAGCCTGTTCCTCTGTTGATTGAAAGAAAACATTTGATGAAATAAGACATGTAATACAGTTTTTACTTGATTACCAAGCACTTTTTTTTTCAAAAAAAGTTTGAAAATTGTTGGTGCATGTGCTGGTCCATCACCATTAAAGAATTTCAGCAAAAAATTGAGAATCCAATAATATAGGCTCAAGTATATAAAAACTGAATGTAATGTCAGCATTCAAGAATGTTTGATCATAAATCGACAATTGCAAAAATCATTGATTGAAACTGTAAAACTTGTGAGTTTCTTTATACATATGCCTTGATCATAATTTTGGAATTTTAAAATGTCATTCAGGTTTCCAGATTTTGCCACTTATTGAAGCTATAGAATGAATTTTAAACATTTCATTTTTTTTCAGCCCTTGCCTTGCCTTAAAAACCAATTTGTATCCTTTGAATTCAGAACTCCCTGCAAAGTTCAAGCAGTTTTGGTCAATACACAGTTGAATCTTGATAAGTCAAACCTCTCTAACTTAAATACCTCACTAACTCAATTTTTTTTCAAGTCCTTGTCTGGATTCCCTTAGAAACAATGTATTAGAAACCTCCCTAACTCTGTCTTTTCCTCTCACACCTCTGCAATTCCAATTTTCTGATGCCTTTTGATTATCATTCCCTTGAAATGTGAAAGAGAAAATTGATAAAACATATGATTTTATGCATCTTGAAATGATTTGGAAGACTAATTGAACAAATTAAACCCTGCATCCAATTTCAGCAAGCTGTAAGCTCATTAAGAATCAAGTTTAGGGCCAGAATATCCTCACTTACAAATTTTTACTGTTCCTGGCAGCAAGAATATTTGTTCCCTCAACTCAAAACCTCCAAAAATCCAAACCTCCCTAAGTCAAATTTTTTCCTGGTCCCTGGAAATTTGACTTAGAGAGATTCAAATAAATGTACAATGCTTTTCATGTAAAACAAATCTTTTTCTTAGAGTCAATTCTTATTTTTCAACACAATGAAATGCACAAGAATGCAACACTGTTGCGCAGACCAATGAAAATAATATTTAAAACAGACAAAAGGTTTATTTAGAAAATTTAGTTTGCTTCCTTGGGGTGGGTGATGTTATTCTGCTGCTGTGCCAAGGGCTTTTTGTACTACTAAAGGGCGCTTTTTGTACTGATAGCTTTTCGCTGGATGTTTTTCTCCTGTCATGGAGCGGCATGTGAATTATCCCAGCAATGTCATTTGCCAGAAGTGGTTATACAGCATGATAGAAAATAAAAAATATATCGGTACTGTATATACAACAACAAGAATGAGAAAATGAGGAATCTCAAGGCGTGCTTCGCCCTGACGGGTCTACATAATGAGCAATTTTCCCACGGGCACCACAGTACTCACAGGAATCATCAAGCACGGGGTTTTATGATTGCGACAATAAACGAGCGTCAGATGCATAATGAGCTTGATGGCTTTTGTCCGATATAACGAGCCCGATATAAGGGCTGCCTTTCGCCAAGGGACTTTTTTTTTTTTCAAGGTACCCTGCTTTATATGATGACATGATGCCCACAAAATCTATTGAGACAGTTCAACTAAGATCTCCTTGATGTTGGTTGGGCATGGACTGACCTACAACTCCTAATACAATTAGCAAGCTTCAATATACTGTCATTCAAGTATTGAATTTGCATGTTCAGTAAAAGGTATGAATAGTGTATGCCAAGGGTAATGTTAGCTGGGCAATCTGGAGCTACAGTCAAACCCCTCCAGGTGGAATTTATTCAAGGTACTGTACCAGAAAAAAAATTTTCAACTTTGGGAAGAATGGAGTTGGGAAAACAAGCATTTTTGTGTTGAGAAACATATAAGAATGATTGCAGGAAATTGTGAATGGTGATATTCTGGGCCTTGAATTATTTCTTAATATTAACACCTGAGTGGGGAAATTGGTGCACACTGGGGATTTGTTTGTGATTCTACACAGTGACCGTGCTGTGCACCTGAAGTGTACCAAAGTTCTTCTGTTGCACATGCATATCCCTAATGTGCTCCAATTCTGTGTTCACGCCAGGATTACTCAGGGTCACATTTATGAACAAATAAGTTACACCAAGGTTACAGTTGGTGCATTTGTGTGATGCTCCTGTTATTTCACATTTGTGCACCAAGTGTAACCGTGGAACAGTAGCAAAATTTCCTCTACAGGAGTGCACACTTGTAACCCCAGAATATCCCATATGCACCAGTTGTGACCCTGGACCTGGTGTGCACTTACTGTGGGGTCACAGCAAAAATAGCTCCCCACTTGGGCAGTGATTGGCTAATTTGCATGCGTTAAAGGATTTAACACTTTGCTGACCAGGAGGTGTCCTTTTCAGTATACTGTATCTTGATTCAGAATTGCTCCGATCAAAGGCAGGTGGGAAAATGAGAACAAGGGAGAACAATTATGATAATTCTCAAGAATGAAATAAAATTGTTTATCCATTATCCAATACTGTATAGTGATCATGACTGCTGTTTGGTCCTATTCCCATTTGCCTTTCTGTCTTTGAATGGAGTGTTCTAAATCAATATTAACTGCTCACAACAGTGACAAAAGTTTTACTCCACAAAATATCAGTGCACAATGCTTCAATAAAAAGGTTTGGTAAAAGGATATCTTTAACAAGGAAAAATTTTTTCCATCATAATGTGTAAAATTGTAACTGCTTTCTATATAGAGGGATACTCTACTAATGTATGTAATTATGCTTGATAATGCATATGTGGACAGATACATTTTGGATTCAAATGCATTACCATAATATTCCTTTTGTATTTTAGAATCTCATACTGCTGAAGAAGTATATTATGAAAACTTGTTTTGGCTCCTTAAAAGGCTGCTGAAACAAGTTTTGAACCATATAGACTAACTCAGATTATATTCTTAGACAATATATATATTTTAATACATGACTGAATTGGGTATTTGGTTAAACAAAAACAAACCCAAAACGGTGGCCAGGTTCCTTCTATCATTTCTGTGGAACATATACATTCTGGAGCCCCATCACGTTTTCGTGCAGCCATAAAACTTAGGTTTCCCTGGTGAACTCTGTCAGGATTCCTTCAAGTAATTATAAGAATTTGATTAAATTTTCCTCCTCTGCTTTGTCTATTTTCACCTGTAATGAAGCTGATGATCCATGCCCATGCTGAAGGATTGGTCTTTATTTCTGGGCTAAGTCATGTTTTAAAAAAAGTTGGGCAGAAATTGAATTAATGCAAGCATTTTCCCTAACAGATAATTGGATTACAAGATTTTAAACTGAGAATCACATCCTTATGCCGACCTAAAAACTTAGGATAAATGTGAAAAATCTATTTTTGAATTTTTATTATTGACAAATATTGTTGCATGGTACCTTCCTTCATAGGAAATCTAAGAAAGTGGAAACCACCTTGCTGTGGGAACATTGGCAATTCCTTCATTTTGGAAGTTTATATAAGACTAATTCAAATGCTTGCAAAATCTTGAGAAACAGCTGTGATCTTTTACTAGATGTCTTTGTTAAAAAGTATAATACTGTACAGTACATTCTGCCTTGATACACATTTGGAAATAAAATATTTAAAAAGTACCTTTCAGCTTCAAATTTTTTTATTTCAGCTTTTTCTCTTATAAAACACCCTGATAGGCCTAACAATTCTGTAACAAGCTCTTTTTTCTATAATGGAAACCCTGAACTAACCTCTCTCTCATACAATACCCTCAATGTTGTGCCTCCCTTGCTTAGCACCACAAAATGTGCCAGAATAAATGGTGGCACTGAATTGGGGTTTGTTTGTATGTACAGGTGGACTCTTTCTACAAAAAAATTCAAGGGACCAGAAAAAAATTTGTTTGTTGTTGAGATGAACCCAAGG